ATAAGAGCACAACCTATGATTGTCAGTTGGGTGGGCAGGAATAGCTTATTGCTATATGGAATCCCTTAAGTGAGCATGAGGATCATAAGTTGCCCATGTTCTTGTGATGAGCAGCTAGGAGCAGGTACAAACACTTGAGCAGAGAGGTTCTAAAAGATTTCTGACTTAAGAGAGGCATTTTCCTGAGATACTGATTTCTCCTGGACAGTATTGAGGAGTTTGGGAGGAAAACAATTTTTGAACATAAACTTTATTTTTTTTAAGAGAGATTTTTGCTCTAGAATGTGTGAGCTCACCAGAGACACTTAGAGAGACAGAGAAAGTAAGACATCAACCTTCAGGCGGGATGGCCTATACCACAAACCCTTCTCCTTCATTTCTCTCTTGGGATTCATGTACACACATGTGCCAGGGTGAGTTTCAAGCTGCTAGGTCTGAGATTCGAACCATAGTTAGCCATGTGGGAATTCAGCACCAAAACCACTATGCACTTCCTGCTGGTCCCTGAACATAAACTTTTATATGTAAAGAAAATTACTGTGTTTATTTCTGCATTTCGATAATAATTGTAATAGAAAAACTAGTAACATAAGTTATATTTTTGTCAGAAAAGACTAATTTTTGTAAGGAGAGGAACATTTTGTCAGAAAAGACTAATTTTTGTAAGGAGGGGACATCTGTGTATCCATTTTTTTTTTCCATGAGGAAAAGAGAGGGAGAAAGAGACAGGTATTTTCTGTAAGGTCTTGCCACACCACACTCCTCCCGCCCAGTTTCCGAGTTAGTTAGGAGTAGCAAATGCTGCTAAACATGGTTATTTGAGTTAGTCCAGGATCCAAACCTGGGACACCCTATGGCTTCTGCATCAAACCAGCACCACCCTGGCAGGGCCTGTGATACATTTTAAAAAGATCCCACCAGCTCCTTGGAAGAAAAACTGCTACTGATTTTTGCTGCCAAGGGTACAAGCTTGCCATCTAGTGGTAACTTGTATGAACTGAAGACGTTAAATACTAGTTTCAAAAAAGCAAAAGGTTCCTTTAGTAGGAAACTATTATGGTATATACACACACATGTATATGCATACATATGCACATAAACAGAGTGGACTATGCGTAAGTATAGTGAGGGAAATATTGCACTTTCTCTCCCACTCAGGTTTGTACTGAGGCCAGTGTGAGTCCTCAGTTACCGGATGGGTTGGGAAATGGCTTGGGCTTGTGATGTTGGCTCTGTTTTCTATTCTATGAAGTATCACTTACTCACTTGCTCACCCCATCCCTTCTGTTAGCCACCTGTAACTCTATCCCTATGATTATTTTTTTAAAGAATTATTTTATTTAACTTTTATTTATTTACTTATTTTGATTTGACCAGAGAGGAACAGAGCAAGAGAGTGAGAGGAGAGGGAGAGAATGAAGTGAGAAAGCCGCCAGGTCCAGGGTCGGAATTGCAGTTGGCCATGTGGGAATCCAGCACCCTTAACCACCACACCACCTGCCGGCCCCGTTCATATGATTATTAAGCCCCAGGTTTGACATCAGATAAAACAAACAAACGAACAAAAACACACATGAAAAGTACTGACATGATTAACTTGTTGGAGGAAAAAAAAAAACCTTAGTAATGATACAATAATAAATTTATAAGAGACATTTCTATTGGGTCAGTGCCAGTTTTTATAAAATGTCACTGGAAATGTCATAAGAAGTCAAATCATATTTCCTTATCAAAATACTTTGACCTGAACAAACACTTAGAGAGCATCCTATGCCAATAAAATGAAATATGTAGCTAACTAAATTAGACATTTGTAAAAAGAAAAAAAAAAAGCAAAAACAAAAAGCAAAAAAAACGCTTTGCTAGTTATAACAAATACTAATCAAATACCTGCAAAAAACCTTGGTAGTGGTCTAACAATTTAGAAGGATTTTTGAGGTTTCCTAGTATAATATTAAAGCAAAGTGTGCAGTAAAGCTTTTTGATGTATTTGATAAGTTTCCTTGTAATAAGCAAATGGATTCAAAATCTTTACACTAACTTTATTATATCACTTTTCAAAAACAGTCTATAGCTCTGCATTTTGTCATGAGGCAGCAAATCCATACACGGATGAACAGTAAAATTTTAAAAGCAATGTCAAAAAGAGATGAAAAATGATTTTTACTACATAAAATGTTATTGTTAAACATTTTTATTTTTAGAGGTAATTTAATTTTTATTATAAATAAAGGGGGAATAAAATAGAAGGGAACAAAAGGTCATATATCTCTTTATCCTGATAAAATTCTCTTAAAGGAGGCTCAAAGGAGTTAAGTAAGTTGTTCAAGGTCTTAAGTTCAGTCCGTGAAGCACTTGGTTTTGAACTTTGTTCTTCAGACTTTCAGACTTTCGTCCTTCAGAGTGTGTGAAAGTGTACCTCCCACAATGGTTCTCTCTTATTTCCACAGAAAGTACAATAGAAAAAAAATTTTTTGAGAGGTTTTTGCTATAGGGTACGTGCGCTCGCCAGAAAGTCAGAGAGAGAGAGAGAGAGAGACAGAAAGAGAGAAATCACACCCCAGGAGCGATGGCCACACCACAATCCCTTCTCCTCCATTTTCCTCTTGGGATCTGGGGCACGCACGCACACGCACCCAGTGTGAGTTTAAGCCACAGGGTCCGGAACTCAATCCGCGGTCAACTACATGGGAGTCCAGCGACATAGCCATTACGCTAACTGCTGGTCCCGAGTTCAATAGAAATTAACAGAGGTTTCATGGACGATTACTAATTTCATCCGAATTGTGTTAAACTTATTCTTTTTTATTCAATAATAGGTCTATCCCTGCAAAACTTATCAACTCTAGTCCTTACAGTAAGAAATGACTACAGTGAAGAATTGTATCACTCAATTGTTTTATTTAGATATTTTAAACCTATGTTATGAGTGACTGCAATGATTTCTCCATGTGTTTTGGGTTCTTAAATTGGAAATAAAGAGAAAATGGAAGGAGAGAAGGTTCTTTTTTTCTTTTTGAGTAATTTAAAGTAAAATCTGTTCAAATGAGCCCAATACTTTAAAAGTATCCTGCAAATTGTAGCATGAGTGAAAGCACACTGCTATGTAATCATTTATGGCATTTACAGAAATAGATAATGCTCTAGGCAAGTGAACAATGGGAGCAGAACACTGCACTGCAACAGGGAAGAAAATGAAACTTCAGTTTTCAGTCTCTGATATTTTGGAGCTTAGAGAAGTTATCAAACAAAGGCCCCATTGTAACTCTGTTCCCATGAGACAATCCTACATAATTTGCAACAAATGAATAATGAATGCAGATGAGGAAAATATGGCTGCAGTTAATCGAGGCAGCTATGCAGACGGGACTGTTTAGGCTACTAAGGAGACGTGGAATTTGAGGTGCAATTAGGTCAGCACACCATTATCTGACTTCTATTGCCTTCATTAGCCAGGAGCTACAAGACCAACACAACTGCAACTATGTACATATTTACTTCTGGAATGCCTGTCTTTTCTGCTTGAAGGTCACCTCCATGAAGCCATGCATCTCCTTTGTTCCCTGGCACAGTACCAGGCATACAGAAGCACTCAATCTTTCTCTAATTCGTAGTTCACTAGACACCATGATAGAAGCTTGCGGTTCGGAGCGGGTCAGAACTAATTTGAGCTCTTGTTACCAGCTTGGTCAGGTTATTTAATTTGGGGCTCTCATTTTCCTTACCTGTGAAATGCAGCAGCAATGGAACTTGCCCACATGGTTAATGCGAGAATTAAATGAGGTAATGATGGTAAAGTGCTTAGCATGAGGCCAAATGGTGCACTGGGGTTCTCCATCATAGCAGATCTTACAAGCTTCTACGTGTGTAGTAGGAACTGGGTTGCTCTGCTTTTAAACTTGAGTGGGCATTGAGATTACCTGGGGGAATGAACTAAAATACAATTTCTGTACTCTGTCACCAGTCACCAGATGCTGATTTAGTGGGGCTACATGTTGCCTAGAAATTTGCATTTTAACAAGCACCTGGAAGTAATTCTCATGCAGGGAATCTTAGGACCACTCTTGGAAAAACACTGCTTTAGACAGAGAATCCTACATTTTTAGGTTTCTGAGGGGATGGACTAACAGGAGTTGCACATAATATGTGATACTTGGGGGTGGGTAATGGATGTAAAAGAAGAACTAGCATCTTCAGGGGGAGAAAAAATTATGTATGAAGGATAGTTTATTAAAATTCCAACCCGAGAAGTCATATTTACCAGAGACAGTGCCTCATGCCCAGTTCTCTGCATTCTCACTGGCTAAGAAAGAACCCTCATTAGCTTGCATGGAGAACCCTCAATGTTCCCGTGGAGTTATGAAAAAACAAACCAAGTAGTCCTAAAGAGAGGGAAGGCTGTCAGTGTGGTTTTTAACAATTAGTCTTCTTCATGATCATTTTATGCTGAGAAGCCGTGTCTTGAAATTCACTCTGATGTATTACCTCTAGGTTTTAGATCCTGTTACTGAGATGCTGAGTTAGGGGTCTAAGAGATAGTTTAGCTGAACTTTCATTTTCTCATGTAAATCCTTTCTAAAATAAAAATGCTGTAGATAAATGATATGTATGTAAATGCTCCTTGTCACTATCCTATCCTAGCCCAAGATGTTAACTGTAGCCCAAAACTTACTGAGCTCGAGTCCTACGCTTGTGCCTGGTTTTTATTAGGTCACTGGGAAAGTTATGATGTATTGTTTTTTAAAGCAAAAATGTGTCATGGCTTTCCTGACAATCCAATATTTCCCAACAAGTCAGGTGCTCTTAACTCTTATAGATCAACCTAAAATTTTGGCTGGTCTCCATTTATATACTGAAGGTTAGCTGGAAATTAGCCATTAAGGCAAGTTTAAAAAAATAAAAAAAGGAAAAAAGGCAAGAAAATAAAAAAAGGAAAGGAAATATTCTTATTCACTTATGAATGTACGGCAGGCAGGGTGCCTGCAGTCGAATCCTCTTACCAGCAGGTTCTCTGGCTTGATGTCACGGTGGACGATGTTCAGGCTATGCAGGTATTTGATGGCACTGGCCAGGTTGTACAGCATCCCACTGGCATCTCGCTCGGTGTATTTGTTAGTGGAAGTAATGGCATCAAAAAGGTCTCCTCCCTGAGAAGAGAACAGCAGGCAGAGCAGCACGTTAACAGATGGGCCAACGGGGCTGCCAGCAGAGACAACTGACAAACTATAAAGGAAATGAAGAATGAATGCAGGATCTTGAGTTCCTCAGGGCTTTCCCCACCACTTCCTCCTCAGGCTTTTCCCTACCACTTCCCTCTCAAAGGCCCAAAACCTCTATGGTGACTTCTTTTCCCATTTTAAGAGCCAGTGACATCCCTTCCAAAGCTCAAAGAAACAAGCAGGTAAGGACACGCCATCATCAGTCACGTGGCCATCTGCACAGCCCTGCCCGAGGAGGAGGAGGTGGAGCTCCATTTCCAGGGCAGAGGCTTTGTGACACGTGGGGATCTGGTGGCATGTGCTACATGCCACATACCAACTGCCATCCCAAGTTCAAATTAGTAACTCTAAACCTCCCCCCAGGGAGAAGCAAGGTAATACTGCAAACTGCACGTTTAACAAAGTGATCGGCTGCCTCGTGCAATTATTAAGACACACACACACCACCAAAATCTCTTTCATTCTCTACATTTAGCTCTCTTGGAGTGGGTGTAGTGTTTTGTTTTTCAGTAATGTGCTTCTTTGTGAGGAACGGAGAAAAGGATCAGAAACTGCCATTCCAAAGGTGAGAGAGAAAGGAAGGAAGGAGGGTGGAGAAATTTCAAAGAAAGTTATCTAGAGCTATTATTCATCTGAACTTTCGTTTCTCTTGTTCCTTGCTAATTCTTTGCTATTTGGTGAAGCAGAACGATTTTAAGTTCCATTTATCTCAAACCCTCTCAGAATTTGGGTGTGACCTACTCGTGATGTCTGAATCAATGTTGCATGCAAGCACCAAACAGCCAGCCGGTTCCCAATAGTGCTCACCCGTCACCTGCTGTGGTGAGGGACTTACCTCTTCTTTTCACAGTAACAAAAGCAACATGTAGCCCTCGTAAGCTGATGATTTTCTCACTATCCCGCCTGGACCCTCCATGCTGCCGTATACTCTCACTGTCCAGGAAGACTCAAGAGTTCTTAAAGCATATTCATTCCCTCATCTCTCAAATGAATGCGTTTTCAACTACCTGTTTCTCCCAAAGGCAAGGCCCCTCCAAGAGGGTTTGCAGATTGTCTCGTGCCACGTGAGGAGGAGGACATTCACTGTGGTCTATCTGAACCGCACCCCCAGAGGTCTATGGTAGGACACATGCGGCCGCATACAGGGACCTTGTAAACACTCCACAATTGTCCTGGTCATTTAGCCTCCAGGCATCCTGTAATCTCCTTTCTTCTTCATCCTCAACAAAGGAACCACCAAGTCCCACCAGCCCTTCCATGAAAACACTTCTCATGTGCACATCCTTCTGGGCCCTCCCACTGCACCTTCTGAGTGAGCATTCTTCTTTTGCTTTCTTTTTTTTTTTTGAGAGGTTTTTGCCATAGGGCGTGTGTGCTTGCCAGACAGAGACAGAGAGACAGAAAGTGAGAAATCACCCCCTGGGGGGATGGCCACACCGCAATCCCTTCTCCTCTCAGGATCTTGGGCACGCATGCACACGTTCCTGGCGTGAGTTTTAAGCCACCGGGTCCGGAACTTGAGCTGTGGTTGACTACATGGGAGTCCAGTGACATAGCCATTACGCTAACTGCTGCTCCCATCAGTGAGCATTCTTATCACACTGTCCCCAGACTACTGTCATGCCATGTGGTCTCACAAGTGCACTGCTTCCTTCCTCCAGCTCTTTGGCCCAAGCATCCTGCACAATGCATGCTATGTGGCTACTTTCTTTTTGTTTTCAAGAAATCATTTTCTTCCCATGGCCTAAAGGAAAAGGCTCTCTCTGTTCTCTCTCCAACCGTGTTTCATTTCATCTCCTGCCACTACCTGGGACAGTTACCTTTTGCTCCAGGTAATATTTCTTCCCTTCGTCTTTCCAACACCTATCATCTTCTAGGGCCTGATGGCAGGGCCCCCTCCTCCACAAGGTCCTCCTTCTTCTGAACACGTAACAGTTTACAAGTGGCACTTACGGCAGGCAGAGGTCTAAACTCTTGTACCTAATGATTGTGGAATGTCACCATCATTAGGTACTGCTGCTTCACTCGCTTCTGGAATATAGGCCCTGTTTTTCCTGTAACTTCCAGACTGGCATACCACCAGATTCTCAGGGTTTGTGTAGCACAATCCTACCTAGATTTCTCTAGAAGAAAGTTACAGGAGACTGTCATGTCAAACATGGGGTTGGCCTTCTCTTCCTGGGAAGCCTCCAGACCTGGACTCAGGGAAGCTCTGGTTTAGCCACTGCATCTAAGAATACGATGTGGTGGCACTACTAAGGAATACCAATGCTCTATTATACAGACCCTCTCTGGGCTTTGCAGGAGAGCCTGCTGATGCAGAGGGCATTCACGAAGGCTGGTAAGTGCAACAAGGATCTTGCTATTGTCACCCGTCTAAGCACAAGAGGGGACTTCAAGAAGTTAATGGAAAATAAAATTAAAGCGCGTGTTTATTTTTGTACAAAAAGGTTTTGAAATCCATGCCATTTTTTCATAACACCCATTTTCCATAAACTTTTTTTTTTTGGAGAGGTTTTCACTATAGGGCGTGTGCCCTCGCCAGACAGACAGAGAGAAACAGAGAGACAGAAAGCGAGAAATCACCCCCCAGGGGGGATGGTCATGCCTCAATCCCTTTTCCTCCATTCTCCTCTCGGGATCTTGGGCACGCACGCACACGCGCCCGGCGTGAGGTTTACACCACCGGGTCCGGGATGCAAACCGCGGTTGACTACATGGGAGTCCAGTGACATAGCCATTATGCTAACTGCTGGTTCCCATAAACTTTTGAAACCTCTCTCCCCATGTGGTGGGCAATCCGACTAAGATTTCTCACAAAATGTGTTCTGAATATCTGAGCTTTTGTCAATTTAATTGAGTTTCAGCTCTCCAAAAACCAGCCAACAACAGTGGTGTTATCAATAACAACAGGGAATTAATCAATTTTTTTTGGAGAGGTTTTTGCTATAGGGCGTGTACGCTCACCAGACAGAAAGAGAGACAGAGAGACAGAAAGTGAGAAATCACCCCCCGGGGGGGATGGCCATACTGCAATCCCTTCTCCTCCATTCTCCTCTTGGGATCTTGGGCACGCACGCACAAGCGCCTGGCGTGAGTTTTAAGCCACCAGGTCCGGGATGTGAACCGCGATCGACTACGTGGGAGTCCAGCGACATAGCCATTATGCTAACTACTGGACCCAAGGGAGTTAATCAATTTTTAACAGCAAGCAGAATGGCAGTGGACATGGTTCAAAGCTGTTGGTCTGAACGTAACATCACTGTGAAAACACTATCCTTCGTGTTAGAGAAAGCACAATTCATGGTGCTAGGAAAAGGTAATTTGATCATGAATACCAATATGAAAAAGCTTCTAAGCAAATGAAGTCGACTTTCCCATGTTGTAATAATAACAATGATAACATTTTTACCTCCCTCAGTCTCAGACATGGCAATAACCTTGCTACAAACAAGGCCCCTTCGCCCAAAGAAACGAATTTTAACTTAGTGTAAAAATAATTAGCCTTCACCTACAAATAAAAATAACCATGAAGTAAAAAACCAACAAGTTAACGTATCTCAAGTAGAGCAACTATGAATAATGAAACCTTAAAGGCCCTAGAATTAACACTTTTCTATAACACATAAATTTATTAAATATTTTCCTATGTTAAATAGTCTTTTCATTTTTAATTGCAAGAAGGTGTGTGTTCTTGCCTCAGAGAGAAAGTATCCCTCAATGAACTGTGGTCACACTGCAATCCCATCCTCTTGGGATTTTGGGCACACGTGCACAGGAGCCCAGCATGGTTTTCAAGCCACTGGGGCTGAGATTTGAACCTCAGTTGTCCATATGAGATTTAGCTCCCTTTAACCACTAGGATAGGGGGCTGGCCTCTGTTTAAAATTTTTAAAAAGAAAATTCCTCCATTTCATAGTCACTGGCTAGGCTGTGAGATTCCAAACCCAGCTCTGGGAGCTGAAGGCTCCCACAGACAATGCACACAGTTGATGCTGAAGGTAGTAAAAATAATTTACAGTTTAAAACTAAAGCGAAAGTTACTTAAACCTTCAGTAAGATTAGCATAGTGAAAAGGATATAGAAAGATAACTTCATAAAAATTGAACTTTCCATTTTTTCCCTTTTTTCTTCTTCTTTTTTTAAATGCTATAGTACATGTGCACTCACTAGAGAGAGAGACAAGGAGAGGGAAAATGAGAAGTCATCCCCAGGGGGACAGTCACACTGAATCCTTTCTACTCTGTTCTCCTTTCAGGAGTGTGGGGATGCACGCATGAGTGCCTGGCATGTTTTTCAAGCCACCAGGTCTGGGACTCAAACTACATAGTCAGCCATGTGGGATCCAGCCACCTTAACCACCATCTACCATACCACCATACCACTTCATTAAAAAACAAAACAAAGTACTAAAACTTTCAAATGGATAGAGTTAGAGAGAATAAGTGAGATACCTTTTGCCTGTCCTGAACCATCGTCAACACTTAGCTATTCTTATGTTCTATGTTTTTATAGAATAATAACACCATTTTATATAAGAGGATAAAATTACAACATTTACAGTAGACTATTCCCATTACTATCAGTGCTGTGTGTTTCTTTTTTTTTCTTTTTCTATTTTATTGGTGAATTAAAGTCCACAGTTTGTTTTTACAAAATAGTTGATACTTTAGGTGTAATTATAGGAAAGTGAACAATTTTTCATTGCAACAGCAAAAATTGTATTGGTAGCTAACACTTTCTGTGTCACACAAACTGGTGGAAGCTATGCCTTTCCATTCCCACGATAATACTATTGAGTAGGTATTATTATTATGATTCTCATTTTACATATGAGGAAACTGATATATAAAGAGGTTTATTGAAGTAATGAAGCTATATGTGCCAAGCCTGGAACTTAAACCCTTGCCGTTCATTTCTGCTGTTGATACTGTCCACTATCATGCCAATGCACAGAAAGGAGAGAGTGAATAATGGTGTGAGGAAATGAAGGAAAAAACTCTATAATATGGGAAAGTATGATGTCTTATATAGAAGTTTATTTTCAAGGCACCAGGAGATGGCGTAATGGTTGAGTTGCTAGACTCCCACATAGTTACCTGCGGTTCAAGTCCCAGACCCAGCAGCTTAAAAATCTCTTGCCGGGCCCATGTACGTGCATGCCCAAGATACCAAGAGGAAAATGGAGGAGAAGGGATTGTGGCATGGCCATCCCTCCCCACCTCCCCAGAGGGAGGATGATTTCTCACTTTCTGTTTCTCTGGCAAGCACACATGCCCTATAGCAAAAATCTGTCTCTTAAAAAAAAAGTTTATTTTCCAAAATACACACCTTTACCAATTCCATGACAAGATATAGTTCAGTTGGCACATCCATCTCTTCAATCAGAAGAACAATGTTGGGGTGCTTCACTCTTCTTAAAATAGATACCTCATTCTGGATCATGTGCTCCTGTCCAAGAGAAAAATTATCTTAGTCGGTGTGCACAAAGCATATGAGGAACTAACTCAAATGAGTACACCTATACTGCTTGAAGATTGAGGGAAATGCATCTTAGTAAATTATAATGAATATACCTTTTATATGATATTCAGATAGCCCAGAATTGAAAAAAATGTTGAAGTTCTTTAGATAATGCTTATAAATTTAGTATGTACCACCATAACTACAAATGTATGTTGAAGAATGGAATACGACTTGAATCACAAAAGTAGAAGACAGTAAACAAATAAATGAACAAATAAACAAAAAGAGCATCCAACTTTTATTCTGAGAATATTATAAAAATATATAAGCTAATAAACTTATAACATTCCATTCCACCAAAATGCAATTTTTAGGATGAATTTATGTTTATTTGAGAGCTGATCTTTGTCTTTCTACCCGCTCCCCCAACACTGTATTTCATAAGAATAAATTTCATACATACTTTGCCTCGACATTTGCTTTTCTTGATAATTTTCAGAGCATACTCCCTAGCAGTTGATCTGCAAAGAAAAAGATTTTTAAAAATGAAACTTAATTTCAGAACTATTGAATTGTTCTGTTAGGAATTAATTTCTTACCCAATTGATCTTGCATCATTGTGCAAATGTTTTGTGAAAGAATCTCCGTTCCTTGTTTTTACAAGGAAACATGCAAGTGTTTAAGTATTGACTGAGTGTATAGACAACCAACATGCTAGCATAGAAAAATCCTGAGCTGTCTATGTTGCCATGTTTATGATAAAAACGCTCCACTGCAGGACTGCCAAATGGCCTAATGATTACATTGTGACTCCCACAAGGTGGACTGTGGTTGAAGTCCCAGACCTGGCTGCTTAAAAAGTCATGCCAGGCGCACGTGTGTGCATACCCAAAATCCCAAGAGGAGAGTGAAGAAGGGATTGTTGCATGGCCATACTCCTCTGGGGATTTTTTCTCATTTTCTATCTCTCTGGCAAGTGCACGTGTCCTATACCAAAAACGTCTTTAAAAAAAAAAAAAACAAAAAACATACTCCATTACTACTGCCATCTCTGGCAAGTGCACGTGTCCTATACCAAAAACGTCTTTAAAAAAAAAAAAAAACAAAAAAAACCACATACTCCATTGCTACTGCCATGCTCGAGTCCTCCTTCTAGGTGTGAAGGGATGTCTGGAGCATAAAGCAGAGGTGAGTTTCTGCTCTTCTTGCCTCAAGTCTTTCTTGAGGTTCTCTATCCACCATGACTATGACTGTTTTCCAAATAACTCTCATGATTCTTGACTCTCAAGAAGCAGACCCCATTCTATAGACTTGGGTTCAGTGAGAGAGTCTGTGTGTAAAGTCTGCTGGAGAATGCATGGATGATATGTTTAAGGTGGACAGAAAGGGATAAAACCATTTTGGGAACTTCCTGTGACTCTTGGGCTTGGTATGGCTGTCTCATTTCATAGAAAGAAAATAGAGGTGACAGTTAAAATCAATGTACTTTCCCAAAGCCACATGGCTGTGCAAAATGAAGATTCCGAGTTGTTGGGGTCTCTGTTTCCCATGTCGCTCAGTGAACACTGCCCCTCCTCCAGGATGGATGTGGGAAGGAGGAGTTAGTCACACTGCTGCCTTTAAATAGTTTCCTAACCTGTGTTAACATTTCTAAGATACTGTAGTGTCAAACCTAAGGACATATTTGTTGTCCAAGGACACACTACTAAGGACACACTAGCTAAGATTTTATGGAACCACATAATTACTATGAAAATAAGGTTGATAAAAAACCAAAATTTAAAAATAGGGTTTAAAAATCTTAAGTACAGAGGACCAGCTCAGTGGCGCAGTGCTAATGTGCTGCTCAGGAGGAGCTGGGTCCATATTGAAGATCACAGGTTCGGTTCCCTGGTCAGCCTGTACATACCACATGTATGCTCATGCTGGGGAAACCTGGGGGGTAGATCACAGCATGAGACCCTGTGAAGAGTGCTTATCTTTCTCCCTTTCTCTCTCTCTCACACATGTGTGAAAGAAATGAATTAATAAATTTAAAATTTTAAAAATCTTCAATATGGTGAGATTTTCTGTTTAGACCAAGAAAGAAATTTGCATATCAACAAATTAAGAGGCTATGTATTAAAAAATGTGTTTCAATGGTGTTTTAGAAACTATTCTTGTCATTTACTTCTAAAAATGCTTGTCCCATTACACTTCCAGGTCCCTGCTTGATGTAAGCTCCACAACATACTTTGGATCTCACAGTTATACTTGTGGAATAAAACCAGAATCAGATAACCACTTTGAAGCCTCTTTTCTCCATGAGAGGGTGGTGGTGTTCAGGTGGCAGAAGGTAAAAACCGTTTGCTTCAGGGAGGCCCTCCTGCAGAGCTGTGGTGTCCTGAGCAACCCACAGGGCCTTAATGCTGTGAGGAAGTAATCTCCAATAGAAGCCTGAGAATGCCCCTCCCACTCTGCCTTTGTTGATTTATTAACAGATACTCTGCCACGGTTGGGCAGAGACCATAACAGACGTAGGTGAAGGCCAGGCCATGATTAGACGTAGGGCTTGCGGTGCTGGATGTTCCCAGATCATGAGCAAGGTAGTAAATTGGGTTGGGGTAGAGAAAAGGCACTTTCGTAAGAAACAAAAACAAAAGATTTAACGTGAGAAATGTAAAATTATAGAAAAACATATGAGAAAGTGAAAAAATGAAATAACTCACATATAAAGGATTCCTCACTTTATATAAGACCACAGGGTCTCCTTTAAGTAGTGTCTTAGAAGAACTTGTTTGAGATTTGAAAATGGTTAAGCAAGAGGAAAAGCTGAAGAGTGTCTGGATTCTGCTTTACATGAATCACTAGAAAATGATAATAAAGCAAATCTGAGATTACAATACTGTCCTGAGCAATAAATGTCCTCTCAGGTTGACAATATTTAATTCTGTGGCAGGGGAATCCAGACCTCTGGATTGACTGCTTCAGTAATCACCAGTAATCCCAGGTGGGGTCAGAGAGTGAGGAGGGGGCTTTGTGAGGCTCAAAAATAAAAGCTGTTTTTTCCCCTCACCACCTCCGCAACAGGGATGGATAGAGAGGATCTTGCTGGTGAGAGAAGGGCACTTCTTAGCTTTGTGATTCTGCATGCTTGCCATTTGATTCTCCTTTGCGTCCAATGAGCAATGTTCAAGCACTCCTTAGCAAAGGAACGGGGAAGGCTGCCTTCTCCTCTGAGCCAGACAGACATGGAACAGAATCCCCACTGAGTCAGCAGGCGTGCTGGTTCCCAGGGGGCCAAGCGGGCAGGTTCTGTTCTCAGCCTACAGCTGAGGGGAAAAGGACAGGAAACTGAGGCTAGGGTGGCCCTAGGCTTAATTAAAAAAAACCTGGTGAGTTTTCTGTATAGAACCTTTCATAATGGGATTAAACACTCCATTACATTTACCCATATTTTATATTGGAGAGGGAGCCCCATAGAGAACCATCAGAATTAATATTGCAACTTTTCTGTCTTGATCCTTTGAGGCAGAACTATAAAGACACACAATAAAAATTTTAATTACTAGAAGTACATGTTTATGGGAAAGTAGTCGGTCTGGAAAATGACTCTGAAAACAGGTGTTAGGAACTAAATATAACATAAGAATAAAAGGGTAAGTGCTTGCTCTAAATGAAAATACTTGGCAAGAAAAAACTTTAAATAGTGTACTTGCCTTCCTATCGCCCTCAGCTCTGAGAACTACTGCGCCTGTGTAATGATTCTGCAAGGAATTATAAGCCTGGTTCTTTGGCGAGCTCAGAGGCAAGCAAAACCTGGCCCTTGGCCTTGAGGAGCCTACAGTTTAGTGTATGGAGAAGAATCCTCGACAACTGGGTCACCAGTGGAAACACAGGCCATTTGCTTGTTCGTTCCTAACATTAAATTATTGACCGTTTATGGAACTTCCTTTGCCACAACAAAAGCAGCAACGACTGAAAATATTGCCTTTCTCCCTGTCTATGGAAAAACCCATTTGGACAATCCACTTCTTGTAAGTGTGAGCTAAGGTTAGACCCTGAGCCACTGCAGAGAAATTTTCAAATTTTACGAACTTGTACTATATGCATTTTTTTTTTCTTGTGCTCACTGGAGAGACAGAAAGAGAAGAGTGAGAGAAGGAAAGTAAAAAATTAGTCACCACCCCTGCCCCAGTGTGGATGGCCATGCTGCAATCTCTTCTCCATTTCTCATCTTGGGATGTTGAGCATGCACACTCATGTGCCTGGTGTGATTTTTTTTTTTTTTTGAAGAGGTTTTTGCTATAAGGCAGGTGTGCTTGCCAGAAAGACAGAGAGACAGAAAGCGAGAAATCACCCCCCAGGGGGGGATGGGCAGACCACAATCCCTTCTCCTCCATTCTCCTCTTGGGATCTTGGGCATGCATGCACACGTGTCCGGCGTGAGTTTAAGCCACTGGGTCCGGGACTAGAACTGTGGTCGACTGCATGGGAGTCTAGCACCATAGCCATTATGCTAACTGCTGGTCCCCCGGTGTGATTTTTAAACCACCAGGTCCAAGACTCCAAACGCAAAGTCAACCATATGGAATCTAGCTGCTTTTTGTTTTTGGAGAGATTTTTTGCTATAGGGTGCGTGCGCTCGCCAAAAGGACAGAGAGAGACAGAGAGACAGAAAGCGAGAAATAACCCCCCAGGGGGGATGGTCACGCCGCAATCCCTTCTCCTCCATTCTCCTCTCGGGACCTTGGGCACACACGCATATGCGCCCTGCGTGAGTTTTAAGCCACCGGGTCCGGGACACGAACCGCGGTCGACTACGTGGGAGTCCAGCGACATAGCCATTACGCTAACTGCTGGTTCCCAACTTTTAGATGCTTCTTGTGCATACCAGATTTCATTTTAGTTTTCATTTTAGCTATTGTAAATTTGCATATTTGCAGGGCTTTTTTTTTAATCTTAGAAGTGTTTGGAAGGCTCTACGCAGACATTTTATTTTTTCTGATGTAATGATAACAACTTGACTCTTTTTTCTATATCAGAAGTCAGCTTTTGCTTTCCAGCTGCAGAAGGAGAACTGTGTTCTGTCTGATTATTGTTTGTTGATAAGGCAAAGATTCAAGAAGAGTGAAATCCTAGTGGAACTATGAATAGTAAGAATAGCTAATATTATATGAGTTCTCACTGAGTTTTAAGCCACCAGGTCCGGGATGCGAACTGCGGTTGACTACGTGGGAGTCCAGCAACATAGCCATTACGCTAACTGCTGGTCCTGCGGTCTATGTTTCTTCATCCTGACTTATCCTCCCAATCTCAGTTCCAAAGGAAATGTCTTCAAACTCCAAGTGCACGACAGCAGGTTCTCGAGAATTCTGAAGATTTTCTAGGTAAACACAACCCATTCTGGTGGCCCTTAGGTCTTGGCTTGTTCTGTGGGTTTGCACCTGCTTATGTTGATTGCTAGAGCCTGTGTTTTGTTGAGTAATTCTTCAGTCTTGTAGGTGGAGGTGGGAGAAAGGAAAGCATCCGTACCCAGGATTTTAGTACAGCTCTGGTGCCTGCATCACTAAACAATGCAAGCAGTGAGGTGTGCAGGAGGGCCAAGAGCCATCTGGGACACTGTTGCTGCTCATGACCACATTGCTTGGACTCTTGGCTTGTGTAGTAATTGTTGCACACAGAGCCAAGTACCTTTGAGATGAAGGCCACCTCATAACCAGTCCTCTCTCATGCTCTGACCTCTCACGAGTGCTTTTCAGTTCTTTAAGTTCACTGTAAGGCCTCAAAATCACAAAACAGGTTGAAAATAGAGCATGTCTCTTCCAGCTAAAGTCACAGTCTGGTAACTTCCCTCAGCATGTCCCAGGGTCCCAAGGCTACTTGAGAAATTGCTCCTGGTGCACAGGAAGAAAATAAATGGCCCTAGCAGCCGCTACCAAAACATCAGCCTGCACAGACCACCGTGGAAAGAAAGGCCTATGTGACACTGTTATTTCGTTCGTTGTTGTTGAAAATCTTGCCTGTGACAGCGGATTATTAACAGCAGAGGAACATACTTGTCCTTGCAAATACATATTCATTCTTCAAAATACGGCAGCATGTACCCCCAAGCAACGTGTGCCATTTGCAACATTCTTAGCCTGCTTATATTTTCTTGGACCTCTGGAAAATATTAAAAGAATGCTTCGTGACACCTCTAGGGAGAGAGGGCACATGCCATATGTCCTCTTCTGCAGGAGCTGAATACTGACACGCTTTGGAGCAATCTGTTGTTTAGACTCTGAAGTTTCATACAGTGAGACCCAAGATGTGAACTCATGCAAAATGAATGCAATGCAAGTTAGAAAGAAATAAATTAATTCTGGAGGGAGAAATGAGAAATTTCTGTTGTGAGAAGACCAGGATTGTTGGACTAAGATGCTGTCCTGACCCATAGACTGGCTGGAAGAAACAGCTCATACCACCAACAGATGATAAACACTGGCAAATAACCAGATACCCCACTGTGTGAGGGCATGACCATCTGCTAAAAAAGGAATTTTTCTGCTACAGTAGAAATAAAATTAAAAAGGATTGGATTTACTATCACTAAAAGTACCAATAAAATATAAAATTATACATTGGGTTGTTGAAAAAGTTGTATCACATTTTTGCATAGAAAAAAACATGCCATAACTTTCCTGACACTCAATAAACGCACACATAAGCCTATATAGGTCCATCCATTACCTTAGCAATGGCTTTCCCAATTAAATTTCTGTCTTATTTATACAAGACCAAATGTGACACGTGTGATTTTGGCTCAGCTAAGCCAGCGCCTTGTGGGAACCTCCTTATTGGAATATTGAGTATTAAAATGTGGCTTCTGGAGCTGGACTCTGATCTAAGCCATGTTACTTGCTAGCTAGTTTAATGGCCAAGAAACTTCTACAGCCTTCCTTTTTCAACCCATGGCCACGGTAATAGAGACATTAAGGAATTATTATAATTATATGAAATATCATCAGCTAAGGGCCTTGCAGATACCTTGTGCTCAGTAAGCTATGGCTGCTTCGGCTTTGGGAGGTGTAGGGGACATTTTCATGTTTGGCAGTAATGCAACACATGGCTGAACTCTGTAGTAGGCGTGGGGGAAAGAGGGGTGTTGAGGAGAAAGGAGACCCTACAGCATCAACAAAAGGGTTTTTGAAGCTACCGGTTACTCATGCCCCTCCCTGATAGCTGCCACAGAAGGTCTCTGTCACTGTGGAGAACATCCTAGCCCAGCTGGCATCTTGAGGTGGAACAAAGTGTAGAACAAAGTTTGAGATCCAGTCCATAAGAGTAGCTGAATGAAGACTCTAATACATTATTTGGGGTAGCATTATTTGCAAATGTTGGCCAAACTAAAATCACTCCTTACATTTGAGGCCCTGCATAGATTTCCAGCTCTACTATGCGGTTTGAGTCCCAGACCCAGTGGCTGAAACTCACGCCGGGCACGTGTGCATGTGTGCCCGAAATCCTGAGAGGAGAATGGAGGAGAAGGGACTGTGGTGTGGCCATCCCCCCTGGGACGTGATTTCTCGCTTTCTGTCTCTCTGTCTGTCTATCTTTCTGGCGAGCGCATGCATCCTATAGCAAAAAACAAACAAACAAAAACTTTCCAAAAAGAACAAGTTTTGAACCTTCCAGGTTAAAGCTTTCTTGGGGTCTTTCAGTCCCAAGCATCTTCTCTAAGAGGCATGGCAGCGTTGAAAGTATGATTTTCAAACAGTGCTGAGGGACTGTATTGTCAATAAAGAGGAACAGAAGCCGGAGGGCACAGGAGTGAAGAAAGGTACCCTTGATTTTTCAATATTCTGTTTGCCCAGCTCTGAGCAAAAGCTGCTGGCTGGGCAGGTTCCTCTGAGGCAAGCAAATACCCAGGAAAAGAAATCCAAATCTTTCACTGAGTTGAAGGTTTGAGGACACCTTAGTCTGGGTTCTACCTGCTACTATCCTCAGTTATCAAGAACCTTTCACTCTAAACCTTTCACTTTGGCCCACAAATTCATTTAAACATATTTTAATGTATTAAATACCATTTTCTGTTGTTATTGTTGAGATCAGTACATATGAATTTTAAAGCCTTGCAAGGTTATTGTTATATTTAATTTTATGATACTATACATTAGATATATGAACTCCAGAACCCCATACAAGAACATTCTGACCTCTAAAAAGCATCAAAAGAGTGTGGGAAAATGATTTAGTGTGTTTCTTTCTTTTCCTTTTTAAAAAAATAAAAAATAAAAAAATAATAAAAAGACTTACCTGAAAGAGCTGGCATGGTTTCACTGAATACATTTTTTAAAAAGTCAAAGTCTTTAATTTATAGATTGTTCCCAGGTATCACTACATTTTTCAAATCTGTTTCTAGGGGCTTTTCTTTTTTGTAAAAAAAAAAAAAAAATGCATCTGGGGTTGAGACATTAACTTATTCCATATGTGCCATAGACTCCAAATAGAGACACAATCCAGGAAAACATAATGCCAAGTGTTTCCCTTAAAGTTCAATGCAAATGATTTCCTTCTCACCTTTCCACACATTCCTTGACAACAGCAAAATTTCCATCTCCTATTGTCCTTCCGACTTTATATCGTTCCGTTATTGTGGCTGGAATCTGGAAGCCTTCCTCCAACACTTCTGAAAGAATCATTAGTACATTTTTATTGGTAGAAAAGGGAACACAGATGTTGCACAAAGGAGATATTTAAAAGTACCATCTAATAGACTGGAACTGATTCGGAATCAATATGTCATTTTCTGTCCAGTGAGGCAACTGCCCCCCTTCCTCACTGACATTGTATATACTCAACAGTTTTCACTAAGACAAATGATAAACTAAAAGGAAACAAATGGGATCCACTCTCACCTATATATGTACAACTTAGGTTTTGTGCTGCAGTGGGGATGCTGAGGAGGAAGTTTGCCTTTTTTACTTTATGCCATTTTGATCAATAGCATTTACTGAATACCCACTGTGCACAGAAAAATGAAATTCTGATGTATGGCACATGATGAAAATGAAGTTTGTAAGGGACTAGGACTGCTTGACATTGTACAAGCATGAAAAATGCCTGCTGTTTGGACACTTAGCTTTACTACATCCTGAAATGGAGATCTCCGTAAAATTCCTTAGGAACTAAGCACTGATTGCTACCCCTCCCCAGCACCAATGAGCAGATTTTAGACAAATGTTCTCACCAGCAACCTGCATAGCAGATGTTGAGTGAAAATTGCAAAATCTATTATGTCTGTGAACAGAACAGTTTTGTAGTTTCAATTATGTTAGTGCCACTAACACAATGCATTTTCCCCCCGAAATATGCATTTTGAAATATTTTGCAAATGCCTAATAAGGCTTTAAATATCTAAGGCCGTAAAACTAAATAAGTCACACTTAGGTCACATAAATATCCTGGATAACCTTTAACATCTTAGGGGTGTAAAAAGCCTTTTATAGCTGGGCTCTAAAATTTACATGCTTTACAGTTCTAAATCCAGCTCTTTCTCAGGCAAAATGTGATGGAAGCCTAGGGTATATTTTAAATGTGCTCTTTTTCTGACCTTTCCTCAGAAACTGAAACTACATGTTTCTCCTCAGAATAAAATGAAAACTTTAATGGTGAATGGGCTTTCTCAGTGATTGTTGAATTCACATTTAGTCTAGGGCTAGAGAATGATCAATGGGAACCCACAATCATCAGATTCCTGCCTCAGCATGATTATCTGAGTCTGAGATGCTGTTCAGTCTGTACCACTCTGGATTCTAGAGTGGATGGGCTTTCTGGAAAGTGTTACACAAATGTACGACGCTTGCTGCCACGACTTTTGCTCTTAGTATTTGCATAGACTCCTCACTTCTTGGTAGGTGACTTACCCTACTAAAGGCTATCTAGGTGATCTCCAGAATAAAGTCTCCCCTCTCTTCCCCATCTTAACTCCAAAGGAGCCACACATTTGCTCCCATTTGTAGGACCAGCCCAGAGATTTTTGTCTATCGAAACACATCTGAATTTACAAAGCACCTCCAAAACATCTCCCCTTCCCATTTCCATAGATAGCAATCTCCAGTGGGAACCATGTACAATCCTATGCCCGTGAGATCAACCCTCATGAACTTCTTGTCCTTGTCCATGCCATTCTGCCTGAGAAGTTACAGTTTCTTGGAGCAAAGATAGCCAGCCCATCCTTTGCTCCTTGTACAAGCCAAGCCTTCTTTCTCCTCAGATACCAAGTCCCAAGAGTATCACCTTCTCCGGGGCCATCATTCTCATCCATTGAGCTGCAGACTTTGGTCGATGCAAGTGATGTAGAAGAGCCGCCATGTTGAGAGCTCTGTAAGGGAACAGAAACAGAGAATAAAAAAACTGTGTCAGCATGCTCAAGTCTCTGTGAGCTCGGCCCTACCTGGAATCTCAGGAGATAGCTTCACTCCACTACCAGGGAGGATTTGGTCTTAGCATTTAGAAAAGGAAGTCCTTAAAATATTTGATTAGAGTCCCAACTCCCTCCTTCTCTGTTAACCAATAATAACCTTGGGTACTTCATGACTTCTTATTCCTTTTTCTCAAAATTAGCATTCTGTAGCTAACTGTTTGGGTTTGGCAGATTTTAGGCCTCTCACTTCACTCTTCCAGTTTATCAGCGAATGAGCCTCCAACATGGTACGGTTTGAACTAACCTACTACTTCTCCTATTCTCACAATAGAAAACATTTCTCTTCAGTTTCTCTTTATGAAATATCCTTGAAACTTAATACTCAGCCATATCACAACTTCAGGAGAATGGTTAAAGAGTGGGTTTGTTAATTCCACTTTGAGATACAGACACAAGCACTAAGCTGTTACTGGTTTGTTAAATGTTACATATGTCTGAGGTAACGACAGAAAGAAAAATATTGACCTGGTGATTTCCTTGTATTTTTGGTGGATTTTGAGCCAAGACCATGAGAGCGAACAGGGTAACAACTGTATTAGATAGTTATGAGGACAAAATAATACTAAATATTTAATATTATGATTGACTGTGGGGCAGTACTTTAACAATGAATGTTTTCATCTCTGTATCTTTCGCTTGAGAAAACAATTTGCACATTTCAATGCTATTTCTAAATAGTGAACACAGCTTGTCCTAAAAGATCTTCCTTCTGTTTCCCTGGGTTTATCCACTTGGTTGGCCTGACGGGAGCAGGAGGCGGTGAGGGGGCGGCATTGGCTCATGGTGCCGGCTGTCTGTGGAGCAGAGAGACGGGGAATCTGTAGTTGAATTAATAATGAAGGGGTGGCGAGAAGCAAAGCTGACCTATTTTTTCTCTGCTTACCTGTTTCCCTTCAACCTCCTTCCCATTCCATTTAGCCTTAACTGTGCATAAAAAAGGGAGGGGGGGTTCTATAAATTCATTATGTCAAACAGTGTTCTGCATAAGGAATTTAAAGATTTTGGTTTTCTTTAAAAAGATTAATACAGTTGGAGAAATGCAACTTCAGTCACTGTGAAGAGCCATTTGAGTCAAGTGCCATGGAATATTTTCTGGGGGGTGATCAAGATGAGTATGTCTCATTGGACAAGTTCAACAAAGTTCATGGTTGACTTGATTAGAATGAAAGTTTAATACAAAGGGACTCCAAAAAGCTCATGGATAAATGGAATTAAACATGAGTTTATTTTGTTGCAAAAAAAATTGAAATCCATACCTAGTTTTTTTCACAATATGCATTTTTCATGAACTTGTTGAAGACCGCTCATCGTAATGATGCATCTGCCTCCATATAGGACATTCTAGAAGTTTTGTGATTATTCTTATATACCTCTGAATGCCACACAGTTTTTGAGATGTGCCCACTATTTTCCAGTATCATAAAAATGCCCCATCAGCAAGACTGATGACTTAAGCTATTTTTCCATCTTCTCCTTGTGTGACTGGCAGCACACACTTGTCACATGTTAGGCTAGAAAGGGTGATTCAGATTGTAACCTTAAAAGAGAGTTTTTCTTAGCGTGACACTAACTAGGTATTTATAACCCACTCTGTTGAAGGGACTGCAAATGGATGAACTTCTAAGCTGTGCTCTGCTGACTTTTACTGATGTCTGTTTGTGAAAACCTTGTATTTATAACATTGGTCTATGAGGCCGAGACAAGGCAGATTTATTATGTCAATGACTGGAGAAAATAAACATTAACATTACCACATTTGAGAGAAAGGTATGTGTTTTCCAGAACAGTGAAATCCTTTATCCCCTGTGTCACTGCTTTTGCGGTAGACATAATGGTATTCCAAGCAGAAAGGCCCTAAGTGAATGTCTAAAATGTAGACCTCCTCTTCAGAGCTTTCTGGTCCCTGAATTTCTTCCAGCAGCATCACAAATGGTGTTTAATAATGTAGACACATTGTGGTTTGGGGTGGCAGGTGCTGCCTTGTCATGTGGTATCTTAAATTTTCAAATACAAAGACACATTCTTTCACCCAGAATCCAAATTAATAGTTTACATACTCAATTCCAAAAGCTTATTCTTTTAATAAGAACATTAGGTACTCAATACAGAACTCTGATCCAAAGTATATGAAAACATTTTTTTAAACTTTCAAACGTTTTATACACTTGCTGGATATGATTCACTAAACTGTCTTATCAAATAATGAATCGCGTTTTCAACAGTGCCACCAAACGTCAGATTGCCTGAATGCTTGCCACAGTGCCAGCTGTGTTTTCTCTGCCTTATCACAAAAATCCTTCAAGGATTTTAGGATCTGTTTTTTTTAAAAAATTAAGTTTAACTTAAGTTTACTTATGTTTACAAATGCTTATTTCTGACTTTAGGTTTGTGTTTGTGAAAATACACCTCATGCTGTTTCAAATTTCCTGCTGCATGAGGGTAACAGTTAACTGATAGTTTTAAGAGAAAAACTTTTTTACTTACAAACAGGGTACTCTGAAAATTCAGAATTCTTATTTTATTTATAATGCTCAAACACAGTAAAATAAATATATTTCTAGTGATGTCATCTTTTTCTCAAAGAAGATACTTAATTTTATATATTTTTCTAGGATAATCGGTATTTATGGACTCAAAGAATTTAAAGGACTAGCATAGATCTCAAACATTACCTATTCCACCCCACGTCCACAGAGACCAAATTCCCGACTTGGGATCAGGTGGCCAAACACCTCCAGTACTGGACATATTACTTCCTGAGGCAGCCCTTTAACTGCTAATATGATGCAAAATAAAGAAAGTTCTTTGATTCATGTAGAAATCTTGCCCCTCCACATTTTCAATTCACTGGTCTCATGTCTCATCTTTAGCATCATCTAATGCAGGTCATTTTTTTATATGACAGTATTTTAGGTATTTGGAAATAGCTACTGGCTCCTTTTGTCTCTTCTCTTTTTCAGTATGAATATTCCCAATTTCTTTGGTTGTCATGAGACAGGACTACACGATTCCATCTCCCTCCTGAGGATACACTCCATCTGTCAATCTGTCTCTTCAAAACTGGTGTTCAAAACTGAATGCAATATTTTCTGAGCTCTGACCAGCAGGGAAGGAGAGTTTTCTTTCTCAAGAATAGAATATTAATTTGCTTCAAGATCATATTGGGTTATTGGCACCATGGGCTTTAACCTTATACTGAGCTCACAGGTATGCACAAGTCCCTATTCTTTATCTGTGAGGCTGGTGTTTTGAACCAAGTCCAGGATTTCACATTTATACATGCCATCTTTATTACATTCATATCCTCCCAGTCTGTTACTTTTTGGATTCTGAATTTATCACCTTATGTTTTTGCTCTGTCTCTCAATGAAGTCACTACAGTATTCAGTACGGCTCTGAATATGGTCATCACTAATCCTTCTAAATACACCAGCTTAGCCCCTGCTGGAACATTTTGATTAATACTTGTAAGTTTGATTGAAGGATTTTGAAAATAGTAAAGAGAAAACATGTAAGTTCTTTAGAATTAACCTAATGGAATTAACTAGACTTTATTTAAATGAACCATTCTTTACTTATGACCAGTAGAAGTTGAAAGGCCCACCTATATTTTTGATTGCTTTTAAATAAAATCAGTTTACCTATTTGGCATTTCTGAACAGATAAACCATTTTCTAGTCTACATGCTGACAAGATTTTATGTTTGTTTCAGATAGTCTGCTAATTCCAAGGCATCTGGGTGTACAGTACAAACCATATAGCTATTTTAGAATTTAATGCAATTAAAATGCTCTGAAAGACATTGTGATATTTGAAATGTCATCACCTCCAAGCAGATTTAATGGGAACCATTTGGGCAGGTTGCTGGCACCTGGATGCTTTTATGGCACACCTTCATAAAAGCACTGCCCTAAGTAAGAACACATCCTAAATGTAGCTATTTAACTTGGGTTCATATAACAGATGGAGAACATATCACACTTTTTGAAGTAAGTGAGAAAGCTGACATAACAGCTCTAACCACATTTTACCAAGATGTAGCTGATGACTGTGTAGTAAAAAAACAGTTCATTTTAAATGGTATGAGTTATTTCTGCCATTTGTATAAATGTTGTCACTCAGCTGGGGTCCCATGCTTCATAAAGATTTTAAAATCCAATTGATACAACTGATATAATCGAGGTAGAAAAGACTCACCAGATAACTTTAGCTTTGATTGGATAATTGTATTATTTCCACTTCACTTTTTGTCTTGGCATATACTTATCACTTTGTTGGTTAATACTGATTTGGAAAATGGTTAAAAAGAACTTAGAAATCAAATAGTCACTGTCGTATAGTTCCTGGATCAAGTTTATAAAAGAAACTCAACCAACAAATAGTTAACAAACTCAAACAAGTTGTGTTCGTGATCATAACTTAAGGTCTATAGATAACCTCATATAACAAAATGAAATAATAATCTTGGTGTAGAAAGCCTGAAACTCATAGGATTCCATGTAATACACAAAAGCCATATGTCTGTTTCCTTAAGTGGGTATAGAACAGTAAGTTGACGGCATTGATCTACAATTACTACTAAGGCTTCATTATTTGAAACAAGGTGCAAAGGGAGCTATTTTTACCAAAGTCTTTGTCTACAGTCCTCCTAGTATATTTGGACTAAATTAAGTTTATGGCCTAATTAAGAATGAATCCTGAAAAATGTAAAATGTCCTCAGGAAGATTCAATTTCATTTTATATTAAGACTAGAGAACTGTTACTTATGAAATTGGTTAAGTGAGAGGAGTAGAAAATGAAAATAAGAATGCTGACATTACGTCTATATTAGTGATGCTATAAGAACCAAGATTTCAAAAAACTGATGGGTCTTCAAAAAGTTCATGAAAATTGCGTA